AAAAAAAAAAAAAAAAAAAAAAAAAAGGGGGGGGCGTGGGTAGCTGTAGCTGGGGCAAGTATGTGTTACAACTGCGAATACAATGTTCAGTTGTAAGGCTGTTTCACTTCTTTATTGTATAAGACTGTCCAGGACACTCAAAATGGTGGCCCTGTGACTCTTTCTATGCAAATTCTGTGTAGGTAGCAGAGCTGGACTATTACAGGAGTGACACCAGAGTCTCTGTGTGCAGGTGTGCTTGAATTGCTGTGTAAGAACCTCAGAGGCAGAAAAAAGCTCCTTAGGTGGCAGTCTTGGAATGGTATGGGAGTAACAGGGATTTGAGTTACCTGCAATAATTAAGACAAGCCATGCTGGAAGCCCAATTAAAGCTTTTTCCATTTTATCCTGCATCTCTGCAGCCTCTGGGATTGTGACAGTGGGGAAGAATGTGTGAATGTGTCTGTGCATCTGGAACGCAGCTCCATCTGCTCCAGCGGCGCCTGAGCTGGGCTGGAGTCCTGCTTTCCCTTTCTTGGTTGTGGACACTCTGCATGGGTGGTAAAAGGCATGAAATATATAATGAGAAGAATCTTCAGTGTTGCTTCTAGTGTGTGGGTAGCACTTCTGGAAGCTATCATGTGCAAAACCAACTTTTGTAATAAAGCTGTATTTTAGTTTCCTCATTATATTTTGGTTGTACAAGAAGGTTGGTCTCTCAGAAGACCATCTGAAAGCCCACTGGGAGCTATTATCATCCTGACTGCACACCTACAAATATAAACAAATACTCAGTGGGAATCAGGATACTTAAAAAACATAACCTGTTTATTGCTGGGGTAGATGAACTGCTTTCTTGCTTCCCTGAAGAAGACATTTTATTTTCTCAGTTTGTACTGCTCTTTGTACGCGGGGTGAGGTTTGCCACCCCCGGTGACATGGGGGTGTTTGTGAGGGGAATGCTCAGACCCTGATGGGGATTGCCACAGGGGACCAGGTGTCTTGTTATTTCAGTGGCGCGTTGCAGGCCTGAAGCAGAAATGCAGGTGTGCAGAGAAGGCTCAGGTGCAACAGGGAAAAGCCTAGTGAGCAATACCTCCAGCAACTGAACAGAAACTGTTCTGATTGCAATTGTAAATATAGACTTCCCATTCCTACCTTCTAGTGAGGTGTAGCCCTTTTTCCCCGTGTGCCTTCTTCATCTGCACAGTGGGAATAAGACTAGGTGTTTTCTCCCAGCAGTAGTGAGAGACTATGTTTTTCCAAGTAGTATGAGGATTTGGGTCACTGAGGTCTTGCAATAGCTAGAGGTCCTTCTTGGTATTTGCTTGAATGCTTGCTAGGTCATGTCCTGGGTTTTGGTCACTAGGATCCAAACTACTGACAAATAGCAAAAATGTGTAAACAAACTGACTGAGAAAAGACAGGGACGGGATGTGGTGGAGTTTCTGGCAACATAATTTCATGCATGTGTGTCCCAGAAATCAAAGCAGAGAACAAAGCTGAGAAACCGTCCTGACTGTTGTGTGGTGTCCAAAGACAGGGCAGGAGTCTTGGACCCCCCTACTGCCTTCTAGAGCCCTAACCCATGGGATTCCTCCCGTGTGTGGTCTGAGAACCACAGGGGACTTCACTCAACTATATCCCTTGCAATGGCTGATTTTTCTACTGACTGTAGCACTGAACATGTTTTTTCCATGCATGCTGGGGAACGTTCTGGTTACCTGTCTGTCTCAGGATATGTCCTATACTTTGTTAATCTAGGTTTAGTATGCTAAGACTTTCCCAGCATCTTAGAGCTGATGCAATGGATTTTAAGGGTTTACACAGTAGCAACTCTCAGCAGCCAGAGTCACCTCAGCAGTTTGATTAATTCAACAGGATTAAGCTTTTTGAGTACTACGCTACTACAGGGGTGGGGTGGAATCTGTGCTACCCCACCATCTGTGGTGCAAGTAGTGTCGTATCAATAATTTTCTTGTTATGGTCTGAAAATCATACCTGTGTTCTGGTTTCTTAACAAAGTCATTTTAGTTCAAGCTATTCCTTTTCCCAGCTGATAGTCACACTCCCTTTATTCCTTGCCCTCTTTGTTATTTCCCTGATAAAATCAGTCAGTCTGATTCAGCTAGATGTATGAATACACCTCTGAAACCAAGTTCATTCAAGGCTGCAAACCAGTTTAATTTCATTGTCTTTTGAGACTCCTGGCTCTGCTCTCTGCTCCAAAACCAGGTGCTGCCAGCACTGAAGACATGCAACAGTCACAAGAAAGATTTGAGAGGCTTTTGGAAATCTGGTTGACATTCTGGCAGGCAAGACAGCCCCATGTTGTCTGAGCACTGATGTGCTTTTTGCCCCTGTACTGTCAGACAGTCATGCAGGGGCAGGTACTGAGATCTCAGCAGCCAAAGACGTCAACAGCCAGGAAAGGAAAATAGTTAATTTCTTGGGAAAGTATTGTTTCAATTTCTGTGCCTGAAAATACCAAGTATGGCAGACTGATGAAAACAGTTTGTCCCTGAGCGGGAGATGAGAGCTTGAAGCGGCTTGTCTGCTTCTGTTCTTGGCAGGGGAAGGGGCGGTCACTGAGCTGCAAGCAGCTGCTTCCGGAGACAAATTTCATCAAGGCTGATGTCAGGACTTGGCTAAGAATGGCCTGTTAGCTGCAAAGCCATAAGCCTACCTAATACAAAAAGCTCTTTTCAGATTTCAGCATACTAACTGCCAGAGACTGTTAGGCCACACGATTGCAAGATATGTCTTATGCTGCATATGAGGAAGGTGAATGGGTTGTTGCAGCATCCTAATGCTCCTCCTTGGGTGGGGTGGGAATGGGGAGGCCTTCTCTCCAGCCTAGAGGGAAAAACCAGGTCACATAAACTCTAGCCAGTTTGTCACAGGTCACACCACCTAAGCAGAAGAAATACCAGTACGTGTGCCTAAAATGTTAGACACACCTACTGCCAATATTTTGAACTCTATTCAACTACTCAGAAGCATAAGTGAGGCCTTTCTGGTGCTGTTAACACCTCAACTTCACCAAAGGATGCAGCACTGTGGTGCCAATGGAGCAACATTAGCAAGGCAGGACCCCACACACTGCCAACAGTTTCTGATGTGAGCAGGCATGAACCACCTGTTTTCTTTGTCCCATGAATACTTACACCCTGCTGGGGTTTTTATGTGAAGCCTGGTCACAGAGTGCAACACCACCACAGCTCAGTAAAATGTCTGTGCAAAGACTTCTGGAATTTCTAAGCATGGACTTGCAGAGTGCTGGAACCAGAATCATTCCAAATAATTTAGCACCATTTTCAGAGCAGTAGCAGACCTGGGCCCAAGGTGATAGCCCAAGGTGCACCTATGCTCTTTTTCCAGACCTATTTCAAAATAACATGGGTCTTTTCTACCGACAGTGGTCCTTTAATACTGCAATGGATATTCCCCCCACCCCCTGGTATTACTGTTTAAATAAATGAATAAATAAAAAGCACGCATTAAAAAAAAATCATTACATTTTCTGGGAATGGGTACAGCCCACAAAGAACCTCAATCTGTTTGACAGTGCAAATGTCCTTTTACAGGTACAGCAAACCAAGGACAGGGCAGCTACTGCAGAAGAGGGTTATCAAAGCAAGGGCAATGGGTGCTCTGAGGCAAACTTCACTAGAGGGTATCTGCGCATGTCTGTAAGCATCCTCTCTGCTGTTTTAGTTTTCAAAGAGATAACCTATGTTATATACATTAAGACATGGTAATGTAATCAGCACTCCATATCTTTGAAGAGGACAGCAACGTAGTAGTGATGTAGCTGAAAATCCTCAACTCCAGCACTCATTAACAATGTGACCATGTTACGTGAACTACCTCTGCTTCAACCTTTGAAGACAAACTATGGGGAGTACAGTGGCCTAGTCTATGTATGAAGCTAAATAGCAGTCACTTACCCTCTGTGAACAAATTATCCAGCCCACAGGAGAACACAGGTCCTGATGTCTCCTGGAAGTGTGGCAACAGACATTAGCATCCCCTTTCCCAAATACAGTATGCAGATACTGTCAGGTTGGGATACATCACAACACACTGCTGTCATTTTTATTGTGCCCTACTCAAGGTCAGGAATAAAGCCAAAAGCTGTGCTGAACCCCAACCTACCATGTACAAATGTCTTCCTCAGGACTTAACCCTGTCCTGGAGAGTGGAGAGCAGAGAGCAATGCTACCGAGAGCTGCAGGAGCTCCTTGTCAATCTGTGCATGTATTCTCCGCTCCTGCAGTCATTACTTCAAAATAAAAACTGCCCTTAGAACTGCAGAGTATGGGGTCATACCTAAAAACCACTCACTCGAAACACATCATGAGGCACTAATGCATATTTTCGCTTCTAACTCTGTACTTCCTAAAAAAGCTGTGGGAGGGCAGGAAACGCACCTGTAATACAAGATGGTGGGCAGGGATTAGCTGCTTCTCTTTGCTCCTTTTCAGGCACATGTATGTGTGTGTGTGTGTGCACACACGTGTGTACTTTACAACTCATTAAAGGTCCCAAAGGAGTTGTCCTAAAGGCCAGTTTATTTTCACTGTCCAATACAAAGGTGATCTTGAGGTCTCTGGAAGAATTTATGATGTCAAAAGATGTGGTATCAAAGGCAGTGAGATATTAAATGCTGAGCATGGGAATAGTGGAGGAATTTTTCATAGTTCAGAATACGGTGGTGGTTTGTTTGCATAGCTCTAGTAACTAGTTTTGTGCTGTTTTTTAAAGAATAATAAGAATATTGTTCCTAGAGATGTGGGTGTATCAAGGATGGTTAAAAATTATGTAAGTCATTAATTTAAAGTGGTCAGAAAGCTGTGAAAATTCCATCATTCAACAAGAATGAGAAGGTTAAGGGGGAGAGAAGTTTACCTTTAAAGTATTGTAATTTTAATTAAAAAGACATATTTTGGATTCTCTGTTTGTTGTTTTAACTAAAAAGGATTAAACAGTTTCACTATAGAAATGAATAAAGTCTAGAGTTGTTATCACAAGAAATTTTTAATATGGTTTGTGACAAGCAATATCAAAGTTATTAACTCTCAAGCTTCATGTTCTGAAACCAGACAACTCTCAGCAACAAAAAAAGTTGTGCACTGATAAACATAGGAAGCATATTGTATTTTTTAATTAAATATGAAAACATGAGCTGTGTACATTATTTTTTTCCCTAGAAAACACAGCAATTTCAAAAGTTTATCATAAAATATTTTCATGAAATGAGTGAACCAGCAAACACATGCACTTGTGTGCCTTCCCCCCTCCCAAGATAAACGTGATAAAAGAGACATACGCAAATGTAAAAGTTAACAGAACAAGTGGTGTTTTGTTGTTGTTTGGTTCTTTTTGGAAAGGATGGAATGTAACATTGTGCTCGACTTTTCTTATGTCACAACAAAAAATATTTGGTGCAATAGTTTAACATTTTCTTTTTAAGTTTCAATCTGGTGGAGAAAAATACCTTTTTCTATAATAAAATATGTCTGTTCTTTTTAAAATGTAAGTTTTTTTGCACAAAATAATTTTGTAAACTGTCATTTCAAGGGCAAGGTAGGCGGTGCCATGTCAATGTCCTCCCCCCCACTTAAAAATGTGATCTGTTATCTGAAGCAAAACAGGGAAACACAAAAAAGAGCGGAGCAGAGGCTGCTTTGCAAAGAGAAAGAAGGGCGTGTCGGACGGGGGAGAGGGGAGGGAGCGTGTGGTGGGACAGAAAAAAAGTTAAAGGTCACTTTCGCCGTAGAGCGCTGTGGAGAAGGACATGTAGTCCAGGGCACCAGGTACAGCATCACGGCCATTGTAGGGTGCCATTCTAGCAATGCAGTATTCAGCTTGATCAGGAGGCAGCTCCCGCCGTAATTCATCCACAGTGATGTAGTTCTGCAACGAGGACAAACCATAAGGCGATCGTTACTGTCAAAAAACTGACCTTCCTCAGAGGGACAACCACCTCCTGCCCCAGAGCACCAGGCAGCAGTCAGGGACAGGACCCCAGCTTAGATGAGTACTGTACACCCACACAGGGAGCCCTCTGCACGTACAACTTGGGAGTCACTCTCCCTACCATTTGCCCAGCAAAATGTTTTCACAATGGAAAGAAAGATTGTTTTTGCAGGAGGGATGCTGGTACGCCTAAAGACCTGGAGGTAAGTAAGGTAAGTTGTGAGTGTAAGACTATGCCTTCCCATTGACAGTGGAGGTCCTGCTGTAAGCAAGTGAGAGGAAGAAATTTCATTTGCATCCTGCCCGTCACTGGCAGGAGGTAACAGCTGCTTGTGCTGCTTGGGAGTTGCTGTTGCTTCTCCTCATAGCAAGGAAAGGAGCCATCCAACCCTACTAGTTCTGGTTGGTGGCACCAATGCAGATGGCAGACAAGCGAACACTCTGTATTGCTTCTACAGTTCCCCCAACAATCCTTCCCTTTCACAGCAGACATTTTTAATAAGCAAGCAAAACGTCTTATGTAAATTCAGCTTCTGGAGACTCATTGAGCTGAGGCAGCTTGGCTTCTCTCCATGCAGTAGGTAACAGTAGCTGCCTGTTTGCAAAGCAGTATGTTGCCTTTAACTGACTGACTCATGGGCATTTGCAGTCGTCTGAATAATGGTTCAGGTTTCACACCACCTCTCTCTCCTGTGACTTTCTATTTATTTTTTTTTCTTCCCTCTGCCTTTCAGTTTAATGACTGGAATGAGTAAGAGGTATTTCTCTTTGTATTGAAATACTGTCTGATTCATGTTATAGTCACTAGAGCATATTAAGCATTGACAAGCATATTTAATGTACTGTACAGAGTAAATGAGTTAATAGCACTACTGTAGCCAAAAGTACCTATTTATTCAGTGATTAGCTTATCTGAATAATGTGGAATTTTCAGGCCTTGAAAGACAATAGGACTGGCTTCAGTTAGATAGATGCCTAAAGGATCCGTATCATGGGTTTCTACATTACAGATTATGAAAAGATTATTAATGAAACATGGAAACCAGTACTGGATTTAAGGGTAACTCATTACAATCTGAGAAATGGTATCCCACATTTCAAGAGCAATGAATAAAATCATTAGCAAATATAGAGATATACTGATATTACATGTACATTTTATTTGTTCAATTACATAAAAGACTAGTGGGGCTTGTTATATAAGAAAAATAAGAGTACATAATGTTTTTTATCAGCTGGTTCCACTGATGATGCAAATTTAGAATATTAATACTTTCAGTATCATCCTGTGCATTTTCCTACTTTCAGCCAATTTCTAGGATTAAAAGATGCTCCTCTTGCAGATACAGCAGATCCTCAATTAAAATCTGCTATTGATTGTATAACAACTGACAGCAACCCATGTATATCAGAAAGATCATCTCAAGTTTACAGCTGTCAGTAATTAATAGTTTTTCAAGACTAATCAAGAACCATCTGTTGAATTTGTTCATACATTTTAAAATAACAAATCATAACCAAGTTCTTAATTAAATTTTTAAAGCAAGAGTGGGCAGCATAGTTCTGAGTGACAGCTGAATAGGACTTTCAAGTGCCTTGGCAGGCTGCTCATTAACCCACACTTCAGCCTTGCACTCCTCCAGCACTGCACAACGTTCCTGTGAAAATACCCTCCACGCTAGACAGTGCTTCCCTCGACACTTTCTCTCAGGGACAAGAGAGAAAAAAGAAAGCAAGAGCAATGCAGATGCAGGAAAAGAAGGTGTGGAGCCTGACCTTGTCTCCAGCCAGGATCTTGAAGGAAGCCATAACTTGGTCAGCAGTATCTGTATCTGCTGTTTCCCGGGACATGAAGTCAATGAAGGCCTGGAATGTCACTACACCCAAACGGTTAGGGTCGACGATGCTCATGATGCGGGCAAACTCTGCCTCTCCCTGAAGAACAAGAGAGTCATGTAAGCCTGGACATCTGGGCAGCAGTGCTATGAAAGTGGAGAGAGTGTTCAGCAGCACATCTCACAGCTAGAAAAACAAAGCCAAATAGAAACCACTTAAAAAAAAAAAAATCAAGATATCCTTTTTTAGCTTGCTGTTATGTACAAATGCTTCCTAATCATTTGTCCTTTGGAATAAAATATTCTCAGCTGTGCCCTAGGATAACATCCAGCTCCATCTAGTTCAAGAACAATGCTCATATCAGTGAACAACATCACACAGACTTCAGGGGAAGACACAAATTTCTCAGTAATACATGTCATGCTAGGTGTCTGTAGCAGTATTTGAAGCAATATTTGCATTCCTCTAATCCTTTTACTTTCATTTACTAAACGAGCCTGTTCCCAGAAGAAGACTCATCTCTGCTCTGCCCCTTGTCCTTGTTCTAGATGAGTTAGAAGACTCATCTAGAACAGTAAACCTTCAAGAGTAATTAAGGTATCTAATCAAACGTTACTGCACCTTGGCACACTACACTAAAGACTCTGTATTTATACTGGACTGATGAGTAAGATGAATAAACACTGCTGACATCAGGAGCAAAGATACTGAGAGTACAGCTGAATATTTCTGCAGTACACTCTTCTTCTGCCCTTTGATGAGCATCAGTCTTCAGTGAAGCCCTTCCTATTAGTGACGGTGCTTCTCAAGGTGCCACATATTAACTGTTCTGAGTATGCAGGTATGCTGGGTAGGAAAAAGTTATGGGGAGGATGACTGGAACTTGAACCTAATGATATGTACAGGAAGGGAGACGTGAAATAAATGGCATGAATGAGAGCAGCAGCACTGGAGTGTATTCAGAAATAAGGTCATGTATACTTCCAGATGAGCTCAGCTGATACTTAGAGCTGGAGAGGATGTGTGTGCTGTGCAGTGCGCAGGTACCAATATAAGGAAGTTTATTGTTTTTTCCACTTGTAGCTGCGCAGTTTGATAAATACAATTCTTATTTAAAATACATGCGAATTAGACAACGATTTCCATTTTTTTACCTTCAGCTACTGCTGCGAGATAAGAATTTTACACGTACAACTAACACTAGATTTAACATCCATTGTTTATAATTCTGGAAAGTAAGGCTGTATTTACCTTGATTCGCTACACATTTCTGAATGTGCTTACAAGAATCATTTTGAACAGGAGTATCAGAGGGCTCTACATTACCATATTGTAACCCATGGAGATAAGGCAGGCTCGGAAATCTTCACAATCCATCATACCAGTCTTCTTCTACAGGGAATGATGTAAAGATGGAAAAGCCAAGAGAGAAAAGGAAGACCAGTCCAGGGAGAAATGAACCCACAGGAGACGTTACAAAGAATGAGTTTCAGGGGGGAGGAGATGGAAGGAAGGATTTACAGGACAATGGAAAACAAGAGATAAAAGATAGTTTGTGAAACCATGAAGAAGCAAAGGTGGTTTTGGACAGGGAATAGTATACACACAAGGAACATATTGATGATGAAAAAAAGGAATTAAGATATCAAGCAAGAAAGATTGAGGGATGGACAAGAAAAGGAGCGTTAAGTGACACAGAAGTAAATGGAAGAGTTTGAAGACATAAAAGGAATTCTCCCAGGACAACCAACAAGGGAATTAAGAAGGAATAGATATCAAAGTACATTTAGAGAGGAAGTAGTATAGAAAAGTGATGTATACATAGTCAAACACAGGAACAGCAATGACAGATGGATTAAGACAAACAAGAAAAGAAAGGAAAAATCTGTTATTTTTTTCACAGTTTAACATCTGGTTGTGTTCACCACTAGCATTCAGTACCTGTGCATCGTTTCCAATATCGTAACCCAAGCTGATGAGACAGGCTTTGAATTCCTCAGGGCCAAGTGTGCCGGAGTGGTCCTGGTTATGCGGTGTGCCAGGCAGCAGGACATGCAGTGCCAGTGGGGTGATGGTGTGGGGCAGAAGGAGGGGAGACACAGAGGAGATCAAAGGGAGGTGGAAGGACAACAAACAGGTGCACCATGCAGTGGGTGAGGAGAGAGGGAGAGGAAGAATGACATGCAGATAGAAAGACAGGGAAGAAAAATAAAAAGTGCATAACATTAGATATCACAATGACATTTCAGGATGTGCTAAAAATGCTCTTGGAACAGTTCCTTCTCAGAGAACTCGTCACATCTTGAGAGCATTTGAATGACAAAAACAGTTGATGCTCAGCAGCCTCAAGATCTCTACCTCCCAAGTGAATTACTTGCGTCACTGCTTGTTATCCACAGTGCCAGAAGCCCTGTGTTTCACTAGTAACCCGGAGTGCAGGTAAGCAGGCAGAGGCAGTAGGAAGCATTGCCTTAATCTTCTAGTCAAAAGTCCCACTAAAGGAATAGGTGAGGACAGGTATGTTTGGCAACACACCCAAGGAAGCTTAGCTGTCAGGGCATCCCACAAACAGACAAGGAAACACAGCTGAAGCTCAGGGGAGCAGTGTTATTGCTGTATTTATGAGACCTGCACATGAGGTGGAACTGTGACTGGTAAAGCTATTTCAAGTTCTCAGCTCTGCAAACAGCACTGCTGTACAGCACAGCACAGCTTGGCAGCTGCTCCTCTCTTTGCTCATTCCCCACTCCCCCGGTGTTTCAATGTACCCATCAAACAATACACAAGCTACCACAGGAACTGATAATCCCTATCCACCCTGCAGAATTTTATCTCAGGACAGCTTCCAAGAACTGAAGAGCCCCTGCCTGCTGCCACTGTCTCTGGCCAGATCAAGGAAGCCAACACCAGGATAGTGGGGCCAATTACAAGTGACTTTCCTCAAAAAATCAGCTTTTAAAGTCAGCAGTAAGCCTTCATAAATCAAATCACAGTTGAAGATAAGAAACTCATGTTCTCTCTGCATTATCACTCAGACTGTTGTGGAAGAAGGGGCAAACAATAGGAAGGTCAAAATATAAAATCTACAGGGCTCTATGGATCCCCCTGCCAAGAAAAGAAGCCATGGTTTTCATTTTTCTTAGACAGACAGAGAAGGGCTGAAATAGTCAGTGAGCATGTTGCCATCCTCTGAGGGCAGGCTGCAGCTGTGTTCTCTGGAGACCTTTCTAACAGCCTGGCTGCTGCAGCAAGCAGGGGAGAACAACCTGTGTTTGCATCACTGACTTAGTATCTCTGCAGGCTGCTCATGGATTTCCAGACAACACTGAAGGGGTCGATAACGGAGCTGGTTTCAGGCTTGGGCTGCTGTCTCTGCTTCCCTACATGACACCTTTGTGATTCGGGTTGTAGAAGGAAGAGCTGCAGACAAGCTGAAAAATTGAGGGGACGGGAATTTCCTTTAAGGAATTCTTTTCGTACTGCACCTGTAAGTGCCTTGGCATGTATTTCCACAGTAAGGGAAGGCAGGCTTTACATCAGGGCTTATCTTCATCATGCAATGCCATGGTATGTAGAGATCCTCCTGTTTGCTCCATACAGAACAATACTGGTTTCTTCAGTACAGGTTTATGTGATGGTATATCAGAGTGGAGGACAGCTGCTCCAAATAATTTTATAAATCAAGATAATAAATAATCTGCTCTCTGGCGAAGATGGGGTAAAAGTCTAATTTCCCAAATAAGCCTTCAAACTTTTCCATGCTTTAGATTTATTGGGAAACTTGGCTGTTTCCTGTGAAGATATACTTCTGCTCCCAGCTTAATGACCACTTAGCAGTCTTCACAGGAATGACTGCTCCAGAGAAGTGGCATTTTTAAGACAAAACATCTTCTATTGATCTACTTTTATCACAGTGACTGTTTTTTATTGCACTGCACAGTCTACACAGAAGCTTGTAGCTTACCAAGCTGCAGTCAGCACTGACTTACCCTGTCAAAATGGTTAAAAGAAGCCCGGAACTCATTCATCTGTTCCTGGCTGATTCCTTTGGCATCACGGGTCAGAATCTGGTTTTCCACTTCATTGATGGTTCTAGCAATTGTTGTTAGTAACTGCTCCCAGCCCACTCGGATATGCTGGAAAAAGAGGATGGGACAATTTTTAAACTAAAAAGTAGCTCTCTGCCTCTGAGGCCAGTGGATCAAATGTGCTACTTGTTGCAAACTGAATGATCCTGGTGGCCAAGTAGGAGAAGTCCATTTGATCAGAAAAGTTTCTTCTCATCTGCAGTGTGAGCCAACCAGGTGTTTAAAATCTGAATTTTGACTGAAAAAAATATTGAAGATGCCAGTTCCTGATCTTAAGAAGGTCTTGGTCCTATTGCAACGTTCCTTTGCCTTGTCAGAGGAAATATTGTCATATTGGGGGCCTTTAACACAAATGAGAATCAAACCCAGTGCTTCTAGGACTTAGTTGGGCAGAAAATTCTCTTACCAAGAAAATAAGTAAACCACAGTCCTTGGAAGACACTAGTGCTCCACTGCCTCTGCTAGCTGGCCAGATACCAAAAGACAAGTTTCAAAGCCCATCTGTTCCACTGGACTCATGTTGAACTCAGATTGCTTCCAAGAAACCTCACGTTGTCAACAGAAAGCTAGACTCTGATTTTAAAAAGCTTTTGTTGGACTTTTTTTCTTCTGCCAGGTTGTGGCAGCTCAAAATCACTAGCACTCCCTTGGTCTTTCTAATCCCAGCTAATAGGCTGCCACAATCGGGTGACAGGAGAAATGATATCAGCCAGTTTTTCAAGCAAAACTGTTGATCTCACTCAGGTTATTTCTATTGTCTATATTTGGAAGTACCTTGGAATGGGTTGGCATGGAGTACAGCAAGGCAAAAAAAATATTCAGTGACATGTTGTTGCATGCTTGTCAAGCTCTCCATTTTCCTGAGAACCACAATATGTTGCCAGAGCTAGATGTGGCTGATGCTAACTGGCCACAGCAGATGAGGCTGTCTGATCTGCTGCCAAAACTTTTACCTCCATGGTGTAGTTGGTGTGCTTGTTGTCAAAGATAAGCGCTTCCTGGATCTGTTGGTGGTCTCCTTCCAACTGGTCAATCTTTGGTTTGTAATTCACAATGCTTTTCTCATACTGCCGCAAGTGGTTGAGCTGGTCCTCCAGGGTCCCATGCATCTCTATTGAAATGCGGCCAATCTCCTGCATTAGCAAAGCCAAAGAAGTTAGATTCCATTGGAAGGACAAGCCTCAGCCTGCCTGACATTTACTGTAGCTATTTCACATTCACACAGGATGATGATTCAAAAAAAGAAAAAAAATCTCATGGAGCAGTTACTTTAAATGAGCTGAGACAGTGTCAGCAAAAATTTTAGCAGAGCCCTGAACATTTTCCAAGTGAGGTGAGTCACATGAGATGTGTCTAATAGAAGGATACAAAAAAAAAAAAGGGAAACTGCAGTCTGTAAGCTAGTAATATATCAAGCAAGATCATTTTCTGATGTACTGTCTGACACTTAGTCCCTTCACATAGACATATTTCTGTAATTGCCCTCTTCTTTACAGCTCCTGCCGTCAGTAATAGATTAATATTTTTCCATTTCATCAACTCCAATTACTTTAACTCAAATCTTACCTAAAGAGAAGATCCCCCTGAAAAATATGTCTCCACTGCTGATATCTGATATGCTAATTGTATTTATTTTGTCACGTGTATCAAGACCATTGCTGTGAAAGCAGTTACACAAAACACATTTCTGATGTAGGGTCTTTAGCTTGCTGCATATAAACACAAATCTAAAAAGAACAGTGTTCCCCATTTTAAATCATGTTTTTTATCTCTGTACTAACAAGTTAGAGGAATAAAAGTACAAGCACTTCAGTAACCGATATCTATCTTGGGATTCTCCATATTTTCTATGAAAGTTTCTCTTGCTGTAACCTGAAGGAAGGCTGATCATGACAGTGGTCAAGAAAGACCAAGGATAAGAAGATCAGTGAAGATGATAGAGGAAAACAGACTGTTTCAAAATAAGGAAAGCACTACCTCCATCTTGGTCTGGATCCAGGGTCCAATGACATTGGCCTGTGCACCAAACTGTTTACGAAGTCGTTCATTTTGCTGCTGGCGAGCATGTTCTTCCATCAGGGCTTGATCCCTCCTGGGAACCAGCTGCCGCACCTACAAAGAGTAACAAAGCACACAGTTTATACAAAGGCACATGTATAGTAAATGCAGAAATCGCCGCAAGGAAGGGAGGAGTGGGTGTTTGCACCGAAAACAAGCAGTCATACAGTTTAGGACAGGGTGGGAAGGCTCATAGAATGTGAATTCTATCTGCTGTAGGATGCATGCTGCAAACTCATCTCAGGCCACAGAAAACCAGAAGCTTCCACTCACTACTTAGGTTTTTGGTGGCTAGTGTTAACTGAATTGCAGAATCTTGTTCTCACTTTGGTTAATTAAATGACAAAAAGACTCCCCACAACTCAACAGTAAGCATGAGAGGGTAACTGAAGAGTAAATAATCCATTTCCTGGGGTCCCAGTGATGGAACAGTGGCATCCTCCCCCACTTGCAAGGTTGGAAAGAACTTACATGTTCCCATTTGCCATTGATCTCGTGTGGGGTGATTGTAGTGTAAGGATTCGTTCCTGCCATGTTCACATGGTATGTCTGGACAATCTTTGAGACTTCATTGTGGATTCCCAGGATAGCCTGTCGCTCCTTATCGGCATCTGGCAAAGTGGCTTTGAACTGTTCGTGGGCTGTGGTCAATCCCTGCAGAGGGAAGGCAGCAGCAAAGGGATGGTAAGAGTAGTAGTCACTGAGTAGCCTCATCAGCAAATTTCCCTGCAGAAGTGACTGCAAAAGCTTACGTATTCCCAAGATACAAAGCAGGCTACTCTAACACACTTTTCAGGTTCTCCCAGCATCACTAAACCAGCTGTTTTAAGTAAGTGAAGTCTTGTTTCCCCTCTGTTTCTGTCCCATGTTGACCAGTGACAGAGATCACATCCCAAAAAGTGGCAGAATAATTCTGGCTCATAATTTAGGGGGAACTGTTTCTCCAACACTGCTCAGTGTCTGCCTGTCAGTCCCTTTGGGAAGATCTGAATAGTAGCATTACTTTAAAGCAGTCATGTCTCATTAGTTTAAATGCACCATGTTTTTCTTCTCCCACTTGGTACTAGTTCTACACCTAAGATAACTCCAGATGAAGAGTAAGAGTCAGATTCAGGCTGATCAGAGTCATTTAGAACTAGGTGAAGGTCTTCCAGCCAACAGCAAACTCACACAGGCAACATATACGCCTACTGAAAAACAGCTCCTTCTCCCTGAAGACAACAGGCCCTCTCTGTTCCCCATCTTGCTGCAGTGCCCAGAATGTGCTCCAAGGACCAATGGTGGGGGCACACTTGCTGGTAGTTTGTGGACAGTTGACAAGCCAGTTGGTCCTGGCTCATCTCCCACTGCTTCTACAAGCCTTTAAGGTACTTCATCCCAGAAGCCTGGAAGATCAA